AATTACTAGGTTTCTTTGAAACAGGAGCTATATCTCATTCCTTTAAAATATGGTCAAGTTTTTAATTCTTCTATATTAATTCAGACTCCTCTCTGAGCACAAATGTATCCTGAAGTCCTGGGTAATTTTAACTGAAACAGGAACATTGGTCAAACTCACCTGAAACATGTCTTGTGTTTTCTTCTGTATGTTTTTAAGTATGTAGTGTTTTCTTTTTTACTCTCTTTAACACCTACATGATATCCCTCTCTCTCTCCCTCTGACAGTGGAACACTTGCTAAGACCCATGGAGAGAGGGAATAATAGGATCCACTCTCTTCAGCCTTGTAATGGGTGAGCTTTTTAAGTTTGAAACAAAAGATTGGAATATTTAAAATGTTTTCATTTTCTATCACTGCCTCCCTTGGTTTAAAAAGAGAAGTGGGAGAGGAGATGAAAAGTATATTTGTAATAGACAAAAAAAGCAATTGTCCTTCTCAATCTGTGAAAATGTTCCATTCCTTCCCACATCACATATTCAATAAAACTTCACCAGCCAGCAGTCAAAGTTAAAGATCTTTTCAAATGGTTGCAATTTCACATCCTTGGAAACCCCAACTTTTCTTTCTCTGTTCAACTCTGGTTATTCTACACAGATACAGAGATATCTCTCTCTCTCTTTCATTTTTCTCTATTTCTCCCCGACGTATATAATGTGTACGTATGTATATAGATATGATAACTAGCCTTAGCTTTAATATTAAAACAAATATTTACTGTTATATGTATTTAAGTCACTAGAGGACTGCTTGAGTAGAGGAAAAAAATGATCTTTATTCAGAATCAAGGCTTACTACAATGGTATTTATTTGTGCGTTTTTCCCCAAATAATAAATTAATTTGAGTCAAATACTATGCTTTCCATAGCTTGGGGGAATTTGATTTAGTGACTTGAGCCACTGACCTGGTTAAAAAAATCTATAGAAACATCTGGTGCTATGAAACAAAAGACACTAATACAATGAACACTCATTTTGCCCTGATGCCTGTAGTAAACCATATTTATTATTGCTATGTTAAATGATTATGTGTCTTGAGTTTTTCTGTCTCTCACCCCCAGGAACTTTGGAAATGGATATTCACTATAGCATACAGTGTTTATCTGATTTATGACTATATTATCAAAGCTGTTGAACATTTAGTAAAATCACAAAATTTTCTGGGTGCCTTTAAAAAATACAAGCATGTATTGTCTTAGTTCTTGCTATGCCACGCATATACAAAACTTAATATTTCTCTGTACATACTCATTGCAGTGTGGGAGGTGTAGTAGACAGATAAGCTCAGTTCTTCCATAAGAAAGTTGTCTGTTTGGTTTTTATCTTCATATCTGTTTTTAGATAGTCAAGACCAAGTAGTGGAAGCAAAAATGAAATGGAAAAGGGTTAGAGTCATCTTTTGGGATTCCTATAAATAGTAATTATCACTGATATTATATCAGTGATACTTGTCTCCTTTTATATGGTAAATCTGCTTTTAGTGGTGTGCTGGAAATAAGATAAAAGTCATATTAATTAAAGATTATTGTGAACATAAGTAGTAGGGGACAATCTAGCCCATCAATTGGAATGCTTTAAAAATCTACAAGACATCTTAAAATGAGCAAAATGGATCAATGAGCTTATTTTTCCCCCTTACCATAAAGTTAGGAGCTGGTGTGCTATGATTAACTTAGGTCCAGATTTCAAAATGACATATTTTTAAATAAAGCTTTGTCTATCCCGGTGTACCAATAAGAGCTCTTAGGCTCTCCTCTTAGGTAGGAGATAAGACTGTGTAAGTACTACAAACAAGAGCTCACAGAGCTTTCTAGCTTAAATGGAAAAGTGGATCCATGTTATCCTCTAAAGGAGTATGGGAGTGAACAGAGCAGAGAAGGGGTTACAAGATTTGCAGGATTGTGAATAGTCGAAATGAATTAGGTAATTAAGAGACTCTTCTTGAATATTTCTTGGACACATCTGAACAACAACAACAAAATCTTATGAATGAGGACTTTAAGCATTCCTTAAGCTTAGTTGACATATATGATTATTCTTTTTGCCTGAGAATCCAAATGGCATGTTTGGGAATCAAAGGATAATATTATACATCCTCAAACCCCATTTTATAAAAATATTACTTTGTTTCCTTGCCCTGGGAATATTAGGTTTGCCCCCCTGAGAAAAACGAGAACACGAATGTGGCTGTGGAATGATCTCTTGATCCTTGGACAAAACTGAGGGAAAAGTCTAACAAATGCATCGTTTTGCAGTAAATTAGATCAGATTTCCACATCTCCGCACTCAGTCTGTGAGCTGACAGTTCGGTAAAATGTTCCCTTGTAAGGTTCGCCCTCTTAGGAAAAGGGGCAATAATTCATCATTAGGATTTCAGAGTCCAGGTGTAGATGGAAACTGATGGAGCCTCCAGCGAGGCAGGGAAAGTGCATGGAAGAAGAAAATTTTATCTGAAGCCTAATTCCCTGGTTACAGCAGAGAATAATTAAGATAATATTGCTTCAAGAGTCCTTTAATGATTAAAAATCACATATGCAGAATCCATAAATTGGAGGGCAACAAATTGGAAGGCTATAACGTCAGAGAACTATTTTGTGCACATTGTAGTGGAAAGTATACTAGTGGCAGTGCGCCGTACGGGCAGCCACCAGAGACCGGGACCATTCCAAGGACTTTGTTTAGATGCAACAAATCATTTGTCTGTTATTAACCCAGAGCTTGTAATTATGCAGATTGCCATAGATTTTCCTGGGCCTGGAAGTGAGATTGAGGGTTGTTCACAGTATAGCAGGCAGCTCAGGGCTGGCCATGCATTACTGAACTTGCCACATTTATCATGTTGACTGATGGCAGCAGAAGCAGGTCTCAGGTCCCAGTGGTTAATGTAGTGGGTAATTAACTGTCATTTGCCTAGTAATAGGCTGATGATCAATGGTTTGTGTGGAAACAAATTCTAATCAGGTAGCTGATAAATGCTCAGCTAGCGAGAGCAATTGAAATTGGGGGAAACTATGTCCAGAATTTCAAAATGGCATTGTGTGTGTATGTTTATTAGGTAAGTGCAAACTGGGTAATTCTTAACAATGGCTTTATCTCATATTAACCAGATTTTATATCCACAAATATATCTATATTCATGGAATAAAGAACTTTTGTGTTTTTTTTTCTTTCTCAAAAATCATAAACAGAAGAAACAAATGGCACACATAAGTGCCGTGACTCCTGAAGAGATGGTGTGAAGTACACTCAAAAGTAAATGTGAAATGTTAAAATGAATGAAAAAATTCGTCTCACAGAAGAATGGGATGAAAAACTTTAGTTTGTGATGATTTCATTTTTAATGATGCCAGCAGGAGACTGCAAAATATTATATTTTCCACAAAGTTCTTTTGCAAGAAAAAAAATATTTTTCAAAATATGGATTGTAAATTTAGGACATAAAAGTTATTTGAGTTCTGTTCCTTAAGTTAGAAATATTTAAAGGTTTTTCTAATTCTCTCAGGAAGATAAGTGTCCAAGAATTTTGAATTTAATCTTCTTGAATATAAACCTTGCATACTTTTTATCAAGTGTTCAAGTTGTGCTCCAAAACTGTTTAGAAAGCGTTTGCAGTTTCTACCCTCAAGAGGCCTATGTTTTTCAAGAGACAGTCTCACAAAATCACAAGCAGAACATTTATTGTACATTTTGTCAGACACGTAGACACCACTCTTACAACTCTGTCCAACCATTGTCATTAGCCTGGTAAGAGGAAATAGTTATGAACTTGAAAATGAATGTGCATGCCTTAAGCAAAGACTTATCTTCAGAGTATATAGAAAGTAATAAGAAGAGATACTTCTGCACGTTTGTGCGTAATCCTTAAATTCAATAAAATGAAAGGCTAAGATTTTTTAAAGTACATTTTTATAACCAAAATGAGTTTTCTCCATAGCACCTTTGAATTCATTAGTTTAGAACTGCTTTTAATTTGGTCTTTCCCATGAGAGCTATTATATTTTTCTCCTGTCAGACTGATGTTGAAGAAAAAAGAAAACTGGCAGATGTAGTGTTTTTCATCTAGTTTGCTTCCTAGTTAAAAAGTACATTAACTACTATGCATGAAATATTATTTGTAGTGATTCTTTACCACCACTAACAACTTTGAAGGGGAACTTGGTTTAAATATTGCCAGTGAAAATGAATAAAAATATTTCTTCCCACTAGGAAATGATAAGACATTTTATTTTGTCCTATTTTTTAGGTCATTACAATAACCATTTTCAGGTATCTACAGCAAATAAGATTTTAAAAGAATACCTTTTTTTTCCCTCAGGCAATTTCAGTGGTTCTGACAATATATTATGCTTGAACTCCTGGTCTAGCTATATATAGTTTACAGCCTCATTTACTTTAATGCGCTACCTGAATAACAGAATCACAGCTATAACTATGGTATAGGGCCAGAAGGTGCAAGCACATCCATGGTTTTTTGACTATTTAAATGGCTTGTTCATAAACGTTATTTCAATAATAATGGCAAACCTCTTAGAATCTAGATGTCAGAAAAATAGCAAGTCATTCAAATGGGTTTCTTTTCCAACTAAAATATCAAATATACAATGTTAAGATCAAAGTTACATTGCTTTTATGTTTACTATGTACTCCAACAAGTAGGTTTTTTGCTGTGAATTCACCCCTGTTGATTTCTGTTTGTGTACAGTTATGTAAACTTCCTAATGTATTTGCCTTTTCCTTTGCTTTCCAAACAAGATGTGATTTTCATCAAGAAAGGCCAATGGAGTATATATATTACAGAAGAATATTTATGTGTGCACCTAGGATAAAACTCGTTTGTGTATCTCATAAGTCATTATATTGATAGCTTTACGGGGTATATTGGTATCCTCTATTCACAATCTCAGATTTCCCTTAGTTAAAAACAAAACAAAAACAACAAAAAACTCCTATTTATTGTTGTAGGCTTTTTGGTGTAACAGGAAACTGTGCTGCCTGTAGCAAGCTCATTCCTGCCTTTGAGATGGTGATGCGTGCTAAGGACAATGTCTACCACCTGGACTGCTTTGCCTGTCAGCTCTGTAACCAGAGGTAAGGAGGCTTCATCTTGGCTTCTCAAAAATGGCACACCTCTGTGCTGGCTATTGATGGAATAGGTGGTAATGATATTGGTACACTTTACTAAAAGCAATTAATCTCAGCATTTTTGTTTTCTGCAAAGATTAATTCATTGCCAGAAATAGGCACCAAGGAGGGAGGTCTTAAGACTGACTTTAAAAGAACTGTATTGTATAATAGCCTGTGACTGGACCTGGAAATATTTTTATTAACTTTTAGACTTATTATTCATTCTTCTCTTTATCATTTTTCTGTCTTTTAACAAGTTAGTTTTAAATAGCTTTTTTGTACTGCTTCTGTGAGCAAACAAGTTACCACAAGGCAAACATACAGAAATGTGTAGCAGACATTTTGTTTTCATCGTATTTATTGAATTTATAGTTTCCCCCTATTTCTTATTTGCAATTTTAACCTTCTCCTATGTGTGCTATTTCAGTTGCCTCAAATCTCTTTAAGTATGAGACCAGACAGAGCTAATAATTAAGCAATTATCAGAATTGGAAAGGCAGGATTGGCAAAGCAGCAATGGAAAGAGCATTGCATGGGGAATCTGGAAGCTTAAGTTCTTGTCTTATCTCTGCCACAAATTGACTGTGTGACCTTAAGCCAAACACTACACCTCTCTGGACCTCAGTTTTTTTATTTGTAATGTGAGGGAGCTTGATGAACTTCAGAACTCTTTTGATTCAAAAGTATTATGACTTAAACCCATTTTTTCTTATTGAAAGTTAAACTTTTATTTCCAGTGATATTGGCACTTCTTTTATGTGATAAATGCAGAGAATTTTAAAATATTTAAAAAGTGCATATCAAAAATACAATATTTTAAAAATTAGTATACTTGATGGATTTTAATGAAAATGAATAAAGTGAGTATGTCTATGGCTGTGAGAATATGTAAACATAGTATATTATAGATAAACATCAGTTCCATCAAGTTCTCAGTTCTTGTAATTTGCCCTGAAAGGTTCTGTTTAATGCATAGTCTTCTTATAAGGTTCTGTAGAACAGCAGAAGGAAAGAATATGGTCTTTATGGTGAGAACTAGATTCAAATTCCAGCCCCAGTATATCAGCTGATATATTAGCTGTGTGATCTTAGTATGTTACTTGATCTCTCTGAGTTTATTTTCTACACCCATAGTACACTAATATCTATCTTACAAATTAAAAAAAAAAGTAAAATCATTTATAATAAGTACCAGGAACATGGTAGGTTTTCAAAAGTTATTTGTTTTATATTTGTAATTTACTTGGACCATATCACAAACTAGATTTTTCTACAAGACATGTAACATCTCTTGCTAAATGCAGATGTTTAGAATGTGGCCCAGTATGTCTTTATACTATCATCATTCCCTAGACACTAGCTTAAGAAGTCATCTCATATCTTGATTTTTTTCATTACAAGTGCATGGAGTGAAAGTAGGTTAATACTGTTTAAGATGACATTTAGCCAAAAAATAAATTCATGAATGCACATTTTATTTCTTTTATGAATATGGACATACAACACAAACATCCATACTCTATACAGACACATTTATATGCATGTGTACATGTGTGTGTATATGTTTGGAAAGTATAATAGGAATAAACAGAACACCTTTGTTTCCTTGATGCACTAACAGCAGTCACTAACAGCACAGTTAGGTTTATGCAATAATAATTTCTACTGCTGTTATACTTATAAAAGCTGACATATTCATAGGAGAAAACTTAGATAATAGAAAACAATAAAGAACAATATGGTCCATGTCTTACTATTCGAAAAAAAATATAACCAACCTCTCGTTTTCTACGTATGTATAACAAATTACACATAGTGTCTACTCTGCATGGTATCCATATTTAAGAAGCTTTTAAAAAATAAACAAGGAAGAATCTTAATGTTTGATATTCAGACCCTCTAATTTATATTATATACCTTCTTACCTGTCATTGAAATTTCTTTTAAGATGTTTTAAGCTATTTCATCTTCAGTTTTATAGATAGAGCATCATATATTAAATTAGTCTGCTAGGCCAAGTGCAGTAGCATTCATCTGTAAACCCAGCAATTTGGGAGGCTGGGGCAGAAAGATCTCAAGTTTGAGGCCAGCCCCAGCAACTCAGTGAGACCCTCTCTCAAAATAAAAAATAAAAGGGGCTGTGGATGTAGCTCAGCAGTAAAGTGCCCCTAGGTTCAATCCCTAGTACTTGGGAAAAAAAATCAGTCTTCTATCATCTAATCTACAGATTGTTTCTTCCTAAATTTTGATATTATCACCAATAATATAGGCTCATATCTATCAGGATAAATTCACAGTAGCATAATTAAGCAAAATAATGTAACAATTTGAAGGCTTATGTTAAATGTTGTTAAAGATGCTCTTTAGAAATATCCTACCAATTATTCTCACACCAAAATTGCACAAAATTATTCATGTCCTCACATTGGCTTTAACATTGAGAATTATTATTTAAGAAGAAACTTTTGTCACCTTTGGGATGACTGATGGCTCCTCATCATAACTTTTAACTGACATTTATTTGATTATTAGTGATCCTTTTTTGTATCATCTTTTAAGGAACTGATCATTTATGCTATTTGTCCTTTTTTCTATTAGGGCAGGCTTACCTATTTTATCTATTTTCCACACAATAGAATGAAAACATCATTCAAGTGCTAAACTCAGCCTAAATTCTATTATGATGCAAAGCAATTGTAGGTGGTTAATGCTATTTACAAATCATATATCAATTTTATTTCACCATTGAAATAAAAAGTCGAGTTCACAATTAAGTCTGTCTCCTCAGTAGAACTCAGTCAAGTAAGACAAACACTCCTAAATTTTGGCTCTAAAACTGTTCACATTCTTATTGCTGCAAAATACTATTCTAGTATCATTATTAAAGTACCTAATATATTTCTGTGTTCACTTCATTTATTACATGCCATAATGGGACTGCATATCTTTAGTGCTGGTTATGCACAATTAGCACTTAGTTATTGTCTTGTCACTTCAGCCCCTACAAGACAAACTTCTCTAATGCAGGAAGTCAACTCATCTTCATCAGTCAAGCAAAGCAGACAAATTTTGTTACCCTGAGTACAGAAGGCTTTCAATACAGGAGCATCTGTTTTTACTTTAAAATCAGCTTGGAGATTCCTTCCAGTAAAGCCATATCCCACAGAAGCCAAATTATTGCCACCGTATTATACCTTTTCAAGTGAAACATGAGATAAATAGGTAATTGATAAGCAATTTCCCCTAAGCAAACTTTATTGACATCTGAAATTATGAAATTGTAAATATTTGTGAATTTTCTTCAGCTATCATTTTATCTTACTTTTTAAGTAAAATGGCATTAAGATCCAAAGCCCTTCCAAATGTTTAAAAACATAATAATAATAACCATTCATAATTGGTTGTCCCTTGTACAAATCTTCTGGCCTTTTTAAAAGTGCAAATTCTGGATTAAAAATATAAAAGTTTCTCTATTCAAAAAGGAAACTTAAGGAGAGCTATTTTGAGTCACTTTCATGATAACTTGAATCTCATTCAGAATTAGAAAAAAATCTATATAACAAGTTCATTTCTTAAATGTGAATAAGAGGTTCCTCCTTAGAAGATTCAATAAAAGTAAATAATGGTTTATAAGAAAAGGGGGAAAAAGTGCTTGTTTATAATGAAGTCTCCCTAAATATGTAGAAATGCATAACATTTCCTTTTCTTTCACTAAACTATAAAAGCACTATGCTAGGCTCTGTGGGAGCAAAGGTGGATAAAATCAAGCTTTTTTCTTAGATGTGTTCAGAGCTGAGAGAGAGAGACATCAAAGACTCACAGATGAGAGTAATCAATGTGAAATAGATTTACACTGAGGGAAGAGAGATTTGTCCTTGAAGTCTGGGGAAGTATCTAAGAGCTGATATGCTGAGTTTTAAGAAAGAACTCTCTAGAACTGGTTAGGACAGGCAACATAACGTGTCTGATGGGGTTTGGGGAAGAAGTGAGGGCCAGGGAGCAATGGTGTAAAGATTTTTCAGGCAGATGGCACAAAGTAACAAGACACGGAGATGTAAAAGCATTTGAGGTGTTCATAAAATGAAAAAGCAGCTCAGAGATCTGGAGTGTGGGAGGGATATGGAGGAGCAGAGTAGAGAACAAGGACCAGAAGGAGATGCAGTTGGAAAAGTAGGACGTCACTGAATGAAAGTTAAAATAAATACAGTTTAAATTATTAATAAATACAGTTTAAATACAAGTCAAAATAAATATAAAATTCAATACAAGTTTAGATAAGTTATTCATTTAAAATACATTTGTGATTTAAAACTATTGTGTTCTAAAATAAATCTATCTTAACCAATATTTATTGACCCCTGCCCTCTCCTTTATTAGTGCAATTTATGGTGGTGCTGCAAAAGGATTCAAAAGAAATATAATTCATGGTCATTTAGCTCAGAACGGCTTCCAGATTGGGAAACATGTTACACATTCATGGAAAAATTTGAAATGCCAGGGCAAATGATATTCCAATAAATAAGTGCTTTGGGAAAGGTGAGAGGTCAAGAAATATTGATGGAGGGGATGGAAAGTAAGGAAATTTCAGAATTTTAGTAGCTAGGAAAAGGGTGAAATATTCCTGGTGAGGGAACAACTCAAGTAATCTTTTCTACTGAGAAAAGATTATTAGTAAATAAAAATAGCACACCCTTATATAGTGCAGATCATACTCCAGACATTGTTCTTAGTGTTTACATGAACTACGTCATTTAACATGTAAAATCATCCACATGTAGGCATTGTTATTAGCTTCATTTATAGATAAGTAAATTTATGTACAGAAAATTTAAATAACTTGCCCAGGTCAACACAGTCAGTAAATGGTAGGCAAAATTTGAGCCTACAGAGTTGGGTTTCACCCTGTGGACTAATACCTGTTTCAAAAGAAGTATTTTATTTCTGATTAAGAGCATATAAATGTGAATAGATATTGTAGAGTTAAAGTAGGGTTGACTTTGAATAATTTATAGCAGAATTCAGGATATAGGTAGCATTTCTTGGTGCAGAAAGGATTGTTAGGAATGAGATACTACAAAAAGGATTGTTAAGAATGAGATGGTACAGAAAGAATTGCTAGGAATGAGATGTGTAATGACAACTGGGCTGTCAGTAGGGAAAAAAGACAGTAAATTTGTTCACAAGTATACAGTGGTAGAATGAATATATAACTTGTACCTGACTGAAAATGGTACAGTATAGAAATCTCCATCTTTTCATAGCTGTGGATACTGAATAAGAAAGGTAGAAACATTGGCAATACATATTGAATTCCTTCTTCTTTATAAAGGGTTAAGGACATAGAAATTAGTTAATTGGCTATCATTAACCTTAGGGAAATGAAACGACGAAGTTCACATTTTCATTTGTTTAAAAGTGTGTTACAAATGGAGGTTTCTTAGTATAGGCTTTTGATAACCTGCTCAGAACTATTCTAAGCCCATACTTCATGAGGAAGACTTACTAGTTGTACTTACTTCCTGTATTTCTCAAGTCTCTAAAGCCATGCAAAATCAGTTAGAATCACCCCAAAAGATATGGAAATTAAATGCATTCTTAATGCAAACATCATGATTAGATGACTTTAATAACCTAACTGGGAATCTTTTTTGTTCTTCAATTTTTTAAAAATGAGGGCAAAACTAATTGAACTGACCATATCAGAAGCAATTAAGGATTAGATTACAAAGAAGATTATCCATTTATTTTTAGGAGTTTTAGCCTGGTCTGTTAATATCTTCACAGTGTCCTCTAACCATCAATACTTCAGTAATGTTTTTTTCTACAAATGCTGTCTCATAAGGAACTGGTTATATAACACTGGAAATTAGCCATTCTTACAAAATCACAGTTACAGGTTATTTTGTTAAACACTTAATATCTGCATTACTATTTCTCTAATTTCTTTGTGTTTACATATAGAACATTTTTAAGGGGGATGTCAATCTTAATTGCATACCAGTCATAATCTCCTCTTAACCACAGCTGTCAAGGCTATTTTGTTTGAATTATATGTGTAAGGATGACATTCCTCACCCATGTTCTGTTTCATCTTGACCTTTAAGTTGAAATGCACATAAAATGTACTTTATCCAATTGACAACATATTGGTAACAAAATATTTTAGGTAGGAATGCTTTATAATAAATCTCTCTCTCTCTCTCTCTTTCTCTCTCTCTCTCTCTCTTCGTCTGTGTGTGTGTGTGTGTGTGTGTGTGTTTAGAGAGAGAGGGAATTTGTCTGCCTATCATACAATAAGATGTGAGATATCTAACATCCATTGAATGGTAGGCAGGGTTTCTAAAGTTATGCAAAAGAAGTTTGTAAGACTATTTAGTATTCATATTATACTTCTAGACTTCATGTTTTACTGCTCCTGGTTAAAAGCATGGTTCTTGAATCCAAAGAGACCTGGGTTATTTTCTTTCCTCTACCACATACATCTTAGTTATGGAAACTTGGGCAGGTTTTTAAAATTCTGAGAGAGAATCTTTGGGTTTTTGTTTTTATTTTTTTAAGGTCAATGATAATAGTTACTTTCCAGGTTGGTGGTAAGAAATAAATGTGATCATGTATACACATGCTTAGTATTAGCATATGGTAAGTACTTTATTAAAGTGGCTATTTTACCTATATTCCAAACAACAAGGTAAGACTATATATTTCACTTCTACTCTTTGCTACAAACTTACCAACACGTGACTGATATAACTAACAAGAAAAACTGAAGTTTCTTCTTCAGTTATTGCAAGTGGAAGGTTGGGATCTGAACCCTGCTCATTGCAACACACCTGTCTGCCTTTCATTTACTTTTCATTCAAACCTCCCTGTTGTCCAGTGCTGCAGCTGCTTCTCTTACTCATAGTGAACTAAGAAGGGGAAGTGTGAAATGTACCTAGGCCTTGCAGTGGGTAAGTGATCAGGGCAGGACTTGGGCTAGATTCCCCCACTCTGTGTCTGTGCTATTCTCACTGTAATTACCTTGAATTTATTCAACTACATATGATAACAAGACGGAAAAGCGTGGTTTTTATTTGATGGTTCATAGAATTGGGGTACTTGAAAAGAAATTAAAGCAAAACTTAAGATAGCATGAAGCTGAAAGAGTTGTTTTTTAGGAAAAGTGATTCAGTACCAATAGCTTGGAACACAAGTGTATTGTATTGAATCTCTTTTAGATGTAATATTTTGTTAGTTTATTAGATGAAATTAATTTTAACAGTGATTGTCTTGAATTAGGGTATTCTATCTGCTGTTTTATATACTCTCACACAATGGAAATACTTAATTTGGCTGCAGAGGCCAGTGCAACAAGAGAAGCATTTCCATTTATTCAACATGTCTTAGTTATCAGGATATCTACAAAAACCAGTTTATCAAACAGCACTTTGTAAATGTGACATTGAAAGCATACAGTTTGCAACTAATAAAAAGAAAATACACTTAAAGTCCCAAAGTTGAATGTTCATTGTGTCCAGTAGCCTTGACCACAAACAACTCCAGGATCTCAAGATCAGTGCATAGTCTGTACTTTCAATCAACATCATCAGCAGACAGTAATCCTAGGGAAAAAAAGTAAATTCCACAAATAAACAGACCAATTTTCCTTTAAGAGGAAAGCTAATTCTTTCAATCTACTTTTTTTATTACACTATTTTCCCTTCTATCTACTTAGCTAGTCTAAGGATAAATTTCCAAAGCTACCCAGTTGGAAAATAAATAGGTTCACTGTTTGTCTAGCATTCCAATCTTTGCAAATGTAAATCAGTCCAACTGCTCCTCATTTAAACCTTCAACTTCACAAAACATTAAAGAGTGGCTTTCACTACACAATTTAATCTCTCCACTAAGATTTCTGCCCGAACATCATTCAAAATTGACTATCTGATAAAGAGAGACCACTATCAAAGGTCAGTGAGGTCAACTTGTATAATTACAAGGAGTTTTACTGGGTCAACTCTACCAAACAGCACTGTTTGAAGGTTAAATTGTTACAATTAAATATATATACAGATCTCCCCAGAGTTACTTTATTGTTAAATGTACTGGAAACAGCACAAGCATTTATTTCTGACCTTAATTGTGTCCAAAGTGTCACCCATTGGGAAATTATACAAAAAGAGCACTTATTAAAAAACCTTACAATCTTGCACATTGAATAGTGCTTTATAAAATAAAATGCATAATTAGCTACTGAAAACTAGTTTTATTTATCACATCAATATTAAGAAGACCATTTAGGTTACTCCCTTTGGTTTAATTGGAAGGGCTCCAAGAAATGACATCTACTGTTTCATAGTTGGTATACTGGCCATGAACAAAGGAATATGGCTCAGAATCCCAGTCTGCCGCTAAAGTAACTTTCAATTCAGAATGAGCACTTCCAAATTATTAGACTTTAGTCACATTTTAATAACAGAGTAAAAAGAAGCTTTTAATGGGAAACTTTACAAGTGGCTATTTTCTAATTCTTTCATTCATTTTAATGCCTTTTACTTTTTTATTAGGTAGATAAATGGACAATGATGAAATCTTCCATAACTCATGACAGAGAAATATTATCATTCTTTGTTTTATCTTAACGAGTACAAATATAGATCAGTTCTTTTTTCTTTCCAATGTGGTAAAAGAAAAAGGGAGGGAAAGAAAAGGAAAGAAAGTCACCTGTGGTGCCCCAGGTATTCTGAAGTTTCTATAGTTTTTATATTTATATAAGACAGAATTTCAAATGTTGTATATGCAGTGTTTCATTAAGCAAACTAGATGGTTTAATTTGATAATGAAGGTATCTCCCTAAACCAAGCTTTCAGATTTAGGAAATTATCAGGGGGGTCTGTCTTTAGGAAGTAAATCTTCAAGTCTATAGATCTGAATGAAATAGTCTTAACACACTTCTTTTTAAATATTTTCAGATTTTGTGTTGGAGACAAATTTTTCCTAAAGAATAACATGATCCTTTGCCAGACGGACTACGAGGAAGGTTTAATGAAAGAAGGTTATGCACCCCAGGTTCGCTGATCTATCAACATCACCCCATTATGAATACAAAGCACTACATTCTTTTATCTTTTTTGCTCCACATGTATATAAGAATTGACACAGGAGCCAACTGAATAGCGTAGATATAGGGAAGCAGGATGGTTAAATGGAATTAAAGGCGGACTGCATCTGTATGTAGTAAAATTGCCCCAGTTCAGAGTTGAATGTTTATTATTAAAGAAAAAAAGTAATGTACATATTGCTGGATTTTTTTGCTTGCTATTCGTTTTTGTGTCACTTGGCATGAGATGTTTATTTTGGACTATTGTATATAATGTATTGTAATATTTGAAGCACAAATGTAATACAGTTTTATTGTGTTACCATTTGTGTTCTGTTTGCTTCTTTGTATTGTTGCATTTAGTACAATCAGTGTTTAAACTTCTGTATATTTATGCTTTCTGTATCTACCAGCTATTTTAAATGAGCTGTAACTTTCTAGTAAAGAATTGAAGAGAAAAATCTCACTAATGATACACAGATAGATAAAGCAAGTCTATCAACATTAAAAGTACTAAAAAATAAAGACACACACAAAGCATTTTAGTGACATCTACTACTTATTGCCACTATGATTTAGAGTCTATCAGTGTTCTCATTATAACCCCCTATTTTCAGGGGGTTAAAGATCAGCTTTAAAAAATGCATAAAATTCATCCTAAAGCACTTTGATTTTATACCAACGTGAAAAGTGCCATTTTTGAAATACCTTTAAAGCTTAACGATTATCCTTTCAGTATCCTTTTTTGTGCTCACAGACACAATAGCTTTATCTTATTTTTCCAGCCACACCCCCTATGTGAACTAGTGCCTTTGGGTATCATATAAAATTTTTCCAAAGGGTTACTTTAAAAAAGTATTGCCACAATTATGAGGTAATTTTAAACTGATAAATTTCTTGTATAAATGTTGCCCAGATCTCTCCACAGGAGCTAAGGGTTTAATCACTGGGCTAAATGAATTTATGGCACTGAAAAGATCTGAGTGTGAATCTTCTGAAATGATGGTAATGCACATTGAAGCTATAATGGTACTTGAGTAGTGAGGTTACTTTTGATCAGAGCAACATCATGCTTGTAGAATCTTCTAGAAGAAGAGAAACAAAAGGATTGATAAAAAGCTGAGAAGTGGTGATTTTCTATTTTTCTGTATTTGCCTACCATTTAATGTTCAAAAAATGAATGCTTTAAGTTTGGTATGTCATATTTTCTCATCACTTAAAGTAATTACCAACTCAGAATATCTTACACTTAGGCTAAATTCTGTCACTCCATTTTTGAAAGGGGCCATATTCCCTTACCTTAATGATAGCTGATAAAGAAGAAAGCTCTAGAAACAGAAATTATGGAGAATGATTATTTAAATTATAATGAAGAAAATAAAAATGAGAATATGGCCCCTTCTGGGTGGCTCACACTTTCCTCCTTGTCTCTATAAAGGAACTCCTTTTCAACAAATCTCATTCCACACAGTCACAATGAACCACATTTTTACTAGAGCAAAAACTTAGTGCTGTGGGTTTTCTTTCTTCACTTTTCCTTGGTCGCTTGTAAAGGGAACAGTATTTCCCAGTGTTATTTGCATACATATTTTGTCCTGCCAATATATGCATTACAATGAAAATTACATGTTATACCTGAATTCTTGGTTTGGGGCCAAAATATTAAGCTGAAGATAATGCTGGTGTGGATTTGAGTTGTTTTAAATCAAAGCTTTATTATGAACATGCATGTGAATCTGAATATTGCCTCTTATTTTTAAGAAAATGGTTCTGTGAGAAGTGAATGATAGTGTATTTTTACAAATGCTTCATGGTTAAGAGTGTTCAAGTCACATGTCCCCCAAATTTGAAATATACTGAAGAAAGAATCTCAAAAATAGCCATTCGGGGCCCACAAAGTAATTATTATTTTACCCTTAGAGCCTTACATTTGTTTCATGAAGAGATAATACGTATATAGTCCCAATGTGACAAAACAAGACAAAGCAAAAACAGGAGGGGGAGAAGATAAACCAGAAGAGGTTTTCATAATGCAGCCCTGTTAGACCCCATTAACAGTTGTCAGTATCTTTTTCAAATGAACCTTTTTCAAATTTAAGCAGTTTTACATATGTTTGTCAATATATCAGAAAAAGAGAACTTATAAATTGGGGAAAAACTTCTCTCTGCTTCTTGAAGCTGTTCAAGTATCCTTGCCACCCCACTACTGAACAAGATTTTCACAACTTTTTATTTTGCTTAATCCTTCAGGATTTAATTCTTAACGCTTTTTACTCCAAACAAAATTACTTACCTGGATTAAAGATTAAGGCCTTATTCTGTTTAGATCATCTTTAATCTCCATGAAACTGTGAAACAAGACAGGAATCATTTTTCAGGATGTAGGCTGTTTTACATCTAATTGCCCATAAACAGTAGCATTTTTGACCTGAAGTACTAAACTAATTGTCTTGACTACTCAAAGCCCCTGAATTGTTGTCAACTCTCCTCTTTGTGTTGTGTAGCCCTGGTGTCTCTTAGCTTGTTACCTGATGTTCCAGAAGGACAGCTCCAATGGAGCTTGGATTTCTCAAGACGGAAAGCTCCCTTCCCTAACATTCATCTCCAACTGGCTGCTTACAATGAAGGACCAGTCATCTCCACTCCACCAGCGTGCTTACTGAGCTTAAAAGCTGACCTGTGTTTGTAATTTCACTTTCATCTTGCTTAATAAATATCTGCTGGATTCTTTCATTCATTTCTTTTTTATATTTGGGTTTATGCTTTTAATACAAGGGGTTTCCACTATAGTACAACACTTAATTGGTACAACTGAGGATGATATCTACAAAGTATGCATTAATTCCATGCAAAAAGGAAAAGAGTTATAAGGACATTAACTTTCTCAAGGTAAATCATAACAAGCATAGAGGAAGTATCTCAAATACTTTCTCCAAATACTATGTTTAGGATCTCTGAGGTAGGTAGTTGCCTGCTATTTACTTTCATGGGGAAAACAAAATTGTCAAAAATGAAAGTAGCAATTGCTGGATATAATTTTTGTACACTTATACAAATTTTAAGTGATTGTTCTGAAAGCAACTGTGTTGCCATCAGACTAAATTTCACATTTCCTATTTTCTCTATAATGAATTAAAACAAAAAACGAAATCCCTCATTTTCAAGAAAGATATGCTGTGCCTTAATTGAAACAGTGTGGGGAAAATTATATCTGTAGTAAAACATGCCATACACAAGTGGTTTCATTTTAACTATCACTTTAGGCAAACCACTCTCTGAATAGTCACTTAAACAATTTCATAGAAATGATAGAGGCCAAACGTGTGGTGTTCACTTCAGTAACTTGCAAAAACAATCTGCATGTTTATTGTAATAGGCCATTAGCAGAGTAAGATTTTAGCAAAAGTCTTTCAATCATTACTTTTTCTTAAGAACACCATTATAGAGGATTTTAAAATTTGATTTTAAGGCAATCTAGGGTAACAGCAAAGGATTGAGAGAGCCATTATTTCAATTGACATTTATTGAGGGCCTACTATGTGCCAGGCCTTGCCCTGAGCACTCAGCCACGCATGTACAGACTTAGGGGGCTTCACGCACCCAATAACTTCAAAGTATCATTGCACTGCTCTGTTCTTATCCCAAACCTGCTAATAATGAGCACATAGATATGAATACCATCTTCTACCTATTCAGCATGTCATTGGTATGAAAGCCCCAGAAAATATCTCAAGTAATCAATGTGTTCAGAGAATTATCTCACACAAATTACTCATTAACTCAATAGCACATAATAAAAAAGAACATCAATTAATTAATGAGTCACCCTCAGATCACTATGATTACAATAGAGCTCTGTAGAAATGTTGGTTATAAATGGAGCTGCCTCTCTTTATTCATTTTTTGCAATTGGCCCATTATTTGGCTGAAACCAGTGTCATATTTAACACATGCCTGTGGGTAATTATGTGATTAGTATCATAAATGAAGAATTCAGAAAGCCTACTGCTTACAAGAGCTCTGAAAAAATAAAGAAAACTCGTTCTTATTACAGCTTTCTTTGAAGCCAACCTATTAGGAGGGTGTTATCTTTCTAAAAGGCATAGTTTTTACATTTATAATAAAGATTTAAGACTTCCATATTGAACACTATCAGGATTAGCTGCTAAAACAAAGGTAAATTTGACAATGCTTTTGTATACTTGTAATTTAATTTTAATATCATAAAGACTAAAATATGCATGATTAATGCCCATTTTGTAAATGCTTTGTTACCACAAAGGACGTTTTTGCCTTTGGTGAACTGGGCTGAGATGGATTTGTGGGGACTGACAGCAACAGGGGAAAGGACTTAAAGAAAATAACAGTTATTCTCAGTGACTAGGAAGGCTGAGGCAGGAGGATCACAAGTTCAAGGCTGGCCTCAGAAATCTAGTGATACCCTGTCTCAAAGTAAATTTTAAAAAGGACTGAGGATGTAGCACAGTGGCAAAGCATCCCTGGGTCCAATCTCCAGTATACATCCTCCCAAATATCAAATATTACATACAAAGTCACCAACCAAACTTTCCCACCTATCTTGGTAAATGCAATCCAGTAAGCGTATATAATAATTATAACAGTTCCCCTAGGTGAATAAGAAACATCTGTTGGTACCATAGCAGGTGTTAACAATTACAGACTGAACTTTTAAAAAATGTTTTTAATTAAAAGAATTCTGTTTTCTGAAAAATATGTTCTATTCAAAGATAACTCCTGTTTTATGTGTTCAGACCATGTAAAATGCACAAGACTGTAAAGCCCAAATCATCCTGGATCATCTGTATTTCAGGTTTGGTGCAGATCATTGTGATCGAAAGTGAATTATAGTAATTCATTGCACCCTGTGTGTGTGTGTTATTGGGGATTGAACCTAAGGATGTTCTACCACTGAGCTACACCCTCAGCTGTATTCAAATTTTTATTTTGAGATAGGGTCTTAATAAGTTTTCAAGGCTAACCTTGAAATTGCAATCCTCCTGCCTCAACTTCCTGAATAACTGGGATTATAGGCCTGTGCCACTGCAGTTGGCTCTCATTGCACTAGTATTCTCTTTCTGTGTGTGTGTGTGTGTGTGTGTGTGTGTGTTCCTGGAGATCACACAGGGCCTTGTGCATGCTAGACAATCTCTTTATCCCTGAGCTACATTCCCAGTCCTACACAACTGGTATTCTGGCTGAGGAGCTAAATACTCATAAGTATAGCTGAACTCACAACAGAATATTTTGGTTTTATGGGTGAGGTGGTTGCATTAACTATACCAAATTAAGTGGACAGAGTACAATGAAAAATAAGAGCAAGATATTCAGATCATAGATATTCAAATCATTTTTCAACTGCCCCCAGAGAAGACTTTAAATCACCTAAACAATCCAATTATAAATGTAACATTATCATATGACCCATCAATAACTTTTAGTAATAATAGCTAACATTTACAGAACACTTCTCATGTATCAGGTATCTTTCTATACCCATGCAATTTCTATACCAGCCTTGTACATAGGCACTATTAACCCTGTTTACCAATTAATTGATTGATTGGGTTTCATTTTATTGCCCGTGCTGGTGTTAAACTTATGTGTTCCAGTGATCCTCCTACCTCAGCCTCCCCTGCAGTTTGGACTACATCTGTCTTTATAAGCATAGACAGGTTATTTTACTTGCCCAAGGTCAAGTAGGCTAGGTGGACCTGTGGTAGTAGGAAGTGGACCTTAATTATAAACACAAGTTTTCTGATGCTTGGCCACACTACTAACATCATCTCTTCTAGGGTTATCATTATTGTTATTTTTGAAGTTTCTGGGAATAGCCAATAACTAGAAGGCATTACTTAAGAAAAAATTCCAAACATTTCAGAATTAATATCATCATTAAAGATAAAAATTGGGAATAAGAGTGATCATATTTTCCACAATGCAATCTGGGAGTTCCTTCTTTCAACCAAACCAGGAGGCATTTGTTTGAACCTCTGAATCCAGGCTACTAAAGGCAGAGGCTCTCTTAGTATAGCAGATGATCAACACAGATTGAAGAGTAACTGAAGAAAAAGCTGCCATTTTCTACATCACAGTAAACATGCTTGTGAGGTGAGGCTAGACCAGTCTTGAAAATTTAGATAATAAATGAGTATATTACTTGTCTTTGATATTTTATGACCTCCTTTCATAAAACGAGATGAGACTAAGGTTAAAGTCTCTAGAATAGCAACCTGCAGCAAGCTTTGTGTTCACGGGTCTCAACTGTAGAAGATGCTGGGTCCAGGTCAACGCCAAACAGCTAAAAAACTCTTTTGTCTCAGGATTATAATGACAGGCTAGGACTAAGCAACAGAGGGAAAAGCAGTTCTCCTTAACATTGACCAGAGCAAAGGCAATTACTCACAGCCTCACACTTCCACAGAGAAAGGCCTCCAAATATCCCTTCTTCCTCTGCTCAGAGTGCCTGATACCATCATCACAGCCATTTCCACACATTGGGTCCTTTTGAACCTGCATCATTCACCACTGAGTGGTCCTAATGGAAACTTGCACCACACAAGGCTTGTTGTGTTTTCAGTATATAACTAGCACGTAACCGAACTGCTTAGAGTTCTGATGATCATGGAGAAACATGGCCAAATTGGATCAGATGAGAAATATTTTCTTCTTCAGACTAGAATGCAGGGTGGGAGCACCAAGAATTTTTAATTGTGTCATAGCATAGGTCAATTACAATATGACTCACTAAAGTGTCCTTAAGATCATCCAGCTCTTCACAGTCTTAAGTTTGGTGGAGCTGCTGGGTTGTCTAAAAGTTATCCTTGACCTATAATACTTGTATTCTTTAGCACAAATAGTAGCACAGACTAGGAGAAGACACAGAAATTACATCGAAAGTAGTTACTAATAGATGAAAAATAAACATGGAAGAAAGATAAATAGTTGGCCTATTGAAAAGAACCACATAACTTTATGAACAAAAATTTCTGGACACTTACCATGGTATATAACTCCATATCAGTCATCTCCAAAGTTTTTCTGCCTGAGAGATTTTAGTACATGAAATACAATGTTCGCTGCCATGTATCCTTTGTTTGACACCCAATTTATTAAACATACAATTCTACTAAATGAAATTTCTCTACACATTTGTACACCACTTAAACAGCTAATAAAGCAAAACTTGTAAATTTACTAAATCAGATTCAACCATTTAAACATAGATCAGAATCTTAGTGAAATTCTTCTAAACATTTCAATAGAATCCCACATAAGAATCAAGTACCTTAAAAAAGGCAAAATTTCTCACAATGGGCCCAAATTTATTTTTTTAGATATATTCAAAGTTGTAACAAAATTATATTTGGCTCCTTTTCTTCCCAAGGTTACACTATAATGGTAAGTATTTCCTTTAAAAAGTTAGAGAATATTGGCTCAACTAGGTGAGGTCATAGGATCTGTGTTGTGGACTCCATGATCCTTGGCTGAGATGCCAGAACTAGCTGCTCATCCAGAATGATTCAAACCTGAACATTAAGTTGGACTATAATTTAATAGTCATGCTTCCCTTGCTACATCAGTGGAACTTTAAGAAGTTCAAGTCTTTTACATAGGTTATAATTTCCTGTAACTCAATGCTTTTTCCCCCCAAAATTGATGTGTGTTAGCATTATTGGAATATTGGAATCTTATGCATGCCACTTTAGTTTCTC